TGAAACCCGACTGAAAGGGACCTAGATAGTCTGCTTCATCCAAGGACCGTCGGAGTTGAAAGGCCACCACCTTCTCAACAACCTTCCCGACAAAGGGGAGGTTAAAGACTGGACGATAGTTTTTAAGAATAGCTGGATCCAGAGAGGGTTTCTTAAGGAGGGGTCTCACCACCGCATCCTTTAAAGGCTGCGGGAAAGATCCCTCCTGTAGAGAGGTGTTAATAATCCTCTGGAGCCAGCCTTGTGTAACCTCCCTGCTGGCCGAAACCAGCCAGGAGGGACACGGGTCCAGTAAGCAGGTGGCGGAACTCACTGCTCCCATGGCCTTGTCCACTTCCTCAGGAGTAACAGGTTGGAACTCAATCCAAGAAATCCAATCAAGGCCCACCCCCGGCATCTCGGCAGGAACTGCCCAAGTGGAGTCCAGGTTTGTCCGAATCTGGGCGACTTTGTCCGACAGAAACTGAACAAATTCCTCAGCTCTTCCCTGTAAGGGTTCCTCCACATCCCTCCCCTTCAGGAGGGAGCGAGTAATCCTAAACAGGGCAGACGGGCAAGTTTCTGCGGACGCAATAAGAGCGGAAAAATGCGCACATTTTGCCGCCCGTATCGCCACGAGATAAGTCCTAATAAAGGCTCTTAGCAGTGCTTGGTGAGATTCGGAGTTACTAGCCCTCCAGCATCGCTCTAGGCGTCTCTTTTGGCGCTTCATCTCCTGGAGTTCCTCAGTAAACCAAGGAGCCCTCCTGGATCCACTGCCGCAGAGAGGCCGCAAAGGCACAATCCGGTCAAGCGCCCCAGCCGCCGCTATATTCCAAGCAGCAACCAAGGACAGTCGGACTGCGGGCAAGGGAGTCAGGTATGTCCCCAAGCTCCGTTTGAAATCCCAAAGGTTCCATCAGGCGCCTGGGGCGGAACCATTTAATCGGCTCCACCTCCCTGCAGTGGGGGAGTAGTTTCCAAAAGTCCAGCCTCAGTAGGTCGAGCGTGTGTCTCGCTGTATGAGTCGGACCCTGAATTACCTTTGCTTATCATATCATAAAAGGTGATCACATAACCTAGGGGAATAGCAACAGTCATAAATATAAACCAATGGCCAAGCCACTGAATTTTGCTAAGATGATCATGGGAATGCTGCAAAGGTCGTAACTGTGGGAAATGGTCATACAACACATTTTTCAGTACCATTGTAACTTTGAATGTTCACTAAATGAACTATTGTAAATTGAGGACTACTTGTATTTAATCGGTTAGAAATTATTTTCTAGAATGTGCTAGTTTATTAAGCATTTAGGTTTAAATTTTAAACACACTTCCCTAGATTTAATTCAGAGAATACAACATGTAAGAGGTATGCTTTGCAGGCTACAATTTTAAGAGAAATAAAAAGTACATTTGTGCTGCAAAATTGTGACACCAACCCTGAATTGATGTAGTTTGTAGATGTAGCAACAAAGCAAAGTGGGTTGTTCTTACACTTTTATACAGGACAATTAAAGCAAAATAATTTGTAGATTCCTCAGTCCATTTCCCCTGCTGATTTTTTACTTTCCTCAGGAAAAAACAATCACTTGCCCTAATTTGTATTTGCAGCAAATATTTCTGAGCCAGATCCAGACCCAGTTAAAACGTAGGAAAGGGCTGGTAGGAAAGCAACAGAAGGGAGTCTTGTACAGGGCAGCCCTCCCCTGTTGATGTTGCACTGGCAGTGGTTGTTCAGTGAGAAAGCTCTCCTGTTTAATGGGCAACCTTTTCCTACCACGCAGACAAAATGGGTGCCTGGAGCAAAAGTTTGGTGTATTTTTCAAGTTCCCCAAAGGATAGGTCCATCAGCTCACTTCTCACCATCGGTCTAGCACTCTTGAAAGCGTGAAGAGGGAAGGAGAACTATGTGAGAGAAATAAGAAACAGCAAGGTAAAATGAGAGACAGCAAGAGGGTGAGACAGTTGACACTAGTGGGTTTTTTTCTTCTTCAGGCTATTCAGAAATACATTACAGACGCAAAAGCATTGTTGGAATGCAGAAGAGGAGCATAGAGTAAAGGAGGTGGGAATGATCAACAAGGCAAAACTCTTTGAGAAATGGAATTCCAGAACATGTACAGAAAATATGTTCATGTGTATGGCTTTACATGCTAATTTCACCACACAGATGACATTCTCTAACAAACAATATACCTAACCTCATCTAACCCAGGTCTGTTCTGCAGTCCAGGACAAAGTGACCAATAGGGTAGTACCACTGACTGGAGTGAGGAAGTTGTAATCAGTGCAGTTCAAAGGCTAAAAGCAGCTGGACAAATTCCAGTCCAATAACGCCATCAATTAAATTGTTGGCAAAATATCCTAATCATATCCACCCCAAAATGGTGTAAGAAGAGGCAAAACACTTCAATAACCAATAGGTTAAGGAAATGTTACTCTGCCTCTTTTATAGTCCAAGAGTGAGAAATCAGAAGGCTATAGATTTTAAAAATGATTAATGGGGTAATTTGTTCAATGGTCGGAAGAAAACACAGACTACAAAACCTTTAACTCTTTCTACCTGCTAGTGTAGGTAGTTCAGTTTTAAGTCGCATCTTTTGTTTTAATACTTTAATAATTCTTAGCAGTCAAACAGCCACAGTGAGGCAACTGAATTATCTCCCGGTCTTTTGTCTCCCCGAATTCACAAAGTAGTCGTAGACGAAACTTTCTATTCAAGTATTCCTGGGATTCAGGCTGCATATCCTGCTCTGCGCGTTACTTTGAAAAGCGGCCCGGGGTGCCTCCTCACGGAGCAAGTCTTCCCAAGCCCGGGAGTTGGACTTCCGACGACAGAGTAGTTCACACTGGAAGAGCTTTAGAAACACTTCGTCGCACGAAGCTACTCAGGAAGCTGCTGACATAGCGCAACCCGGCAGCACCGCCAGGCAACGAGGAAAACAAGTAGGCTCCTCCGGCTGCCAGCTGGATCACGGCACCCAGCACCGTGAACAGCGTACTTCGGAGCCCGAGAGCAGCGTACAGAGTTCCGCCCACGGAGCCCAAATACAGGAGGGCCAGGCCGCGCCGGTCAGGCTCACCCAGCAAGCGACTCGGGCCCCGCAAGAAACCAGCGGCTCCCAACGCAAAGGCCGAGCCCAGGGACCAGAGCAGCGCGAACTTCCGAAGCAGCAGGAGCGAGCCATAAAGCGCGGCGAGGCCGAAGCAGAGAGCAGCCAACAGCAGACACAGGGCACACCCCACCAGTCTCTGCCAACGGGACACCCCCGTCGGTAACCACGGCTCCGCCTCCGGCTCGGTCGCCCCCGACCACGTTCCTGTCGCGGGGAAAGGGTTCATGCGCCGCAGCCAGACGCCCAAGCCAGAGCCGCTTTCTTCTGCTTCGTCCTGAGGAGGAGTCTGAGGAACTGACAAAACCGTAGAGCCGCCGCCGCCGCCCTTGGACTGAGCTAAATATTCTTGCAGTTGCCGGTTCAGATCTGCCATTTTGGCGAGGAGTCTCTCGGGAACAGGCGAAGACAATAGATGGTCAAGGAGGCTGCTCTTCGGGCCGGTCCTTCTGCAACGGTGGGACGCAGCCGCCTTAGCAAAGCGGCACTGCTCAGCAGTCAGCCAGTCAACCACCTTGGTTTGGTCTCTTTAAAAAAAAAAAAAACAGGCACCAACTTCAAACACGTGGCCCTCGCTCAGGCAACTGTCTGCCTGCGCGCATACAAAGGTTCAGATGGGCGGAGAAGGAGGTTGCGCAGGTAGCTCTGGCCTCGCGACTTTCCCGCTTCCTCGCGGGCGCCTGAACGAGAAGAACATTTTCTGGGCGCCCTTTGGACGGGCAACTTCACCTCACCCTTCCGGCTTCAAAGGCATCAACTGCGCATTCGCAGAAGGCAGGAGAAACGGGGGCGGTGCTACCGCACTCTACAGTCGCAGGGAAAGATATGATTCGGCTATCGGTCGCCAATTGCTAGGGAGAGAGCATAACTTGGAAATGTAACAGTGCTAATACTCAAAGGTGGTTGTGCTTGTTGAGTATGTCAGATTACTCCATAACGGGAACATTATGGCCCTAGAATAAGGGTTATTTATTTTCATGTTGATCAATATTTCATAATTTCTAAACGAGGACAAAAAGACCCGAAAGTTAGGGACAAACGGTCATGGGAAAAAATCTGTGTGGTCACTAGAAATTGAAAATGATCTCATATCAGTAATCAAATGGACAAAAATTGGTGATATTTTCCATTATTAGTACATTTGTGGTGAGCATACTTTTTCTGTTACATCAACATTCGAAATAAAATGAACCATTAGCAATTAAGCAGATCTTCCACCTGTAATTCCAAGCATTATCCCAAAACCTTTCACCATGTTTGCTGCTGATTGCACCTAAATTTTTGGGAAAGAAGTCCCAAGTGAATGCAAAAAAAACAAATTTTCAGTGACATTGCATTTCATGGTCTTGTGTGCCTTAAGAAGTTTATCAACCAGCTGAATCTAATTTGGTACTTTAGTTGCCAAAAAAATTCTCAACATTCTTGAATCCTTTCCAGGTGATTTTCTCTGGCCCCACTAACAAATCTTTGAACTGCTTGTCATTGATGGCGTATCTGATCTGTGGACCAACAAAAATGCCTTCCTTAATCTTGGCATCAGTTATTCTTGGAAACATCTGTCCAAAATAATAAAAACCTTTATCCTGTTCATCACTTATACAAAATTTTTTATGTAAGTTTTATGTAAGGTGTGTGAAGCGAAGGAAAAAATATTTTGGGGGGTCAAGTGGTTCATGTGCCAAATTTTTCTGTGCTGGAACCAAATTCTTTGAGAATGATCATTTCTTTTTAATATAATGTCATTCTCTTCCATCATTGTCCCATTTACATAAGTAATAACAGTACTTGATATATCTGAGCTGCATTCCAAGCAGCAGAGCCATTACTTTTAAGTTCTCCACAATATTCCAATTGTACTTGGTGTACTGAATTTTTTTCTATGTTTCTTTCATGTATGCAGCATAGCAAACAAATACTGAAGGGTCTACATTGCCATTTTGTAAAAACAGATT